AGCGGGCGCTGGGGGGGCCAGCCACCGCAGCGAAGTGCAGAGGGGGCGATCCGGCTGGGCAGGCAGAGCCCGACGTGGGCTACCGGCTCTTCCTGCCTGGCCAGAGAAAAACACCCGAGCAAAACGGCCGAATACAGGAGAGGAAAAACACCCCAACCATTGATTAAACAATAACATTAAATGGCAGAATATGATCTTGTTTATTGCTGTAATATGTCGCGTTCTGCCGTGACTCAGGCGGTACTGCAATTTCTAAGGCCATCAACGGTAACTGAGCATTAGCCGGGATGAATAATTAACAATAATTTCATGGCAAATGCACTCGTAAGTAACATTAGCATTGAACATGCAGCTCGATCTGTTACTGGTTTCGCTTTATTTAGAGGGTGCGATTATTATTTTTTCCATGAGCACCGGCAGCCCCAGCAGCCGCTGGCTCTGCCGCAAAGGAAGCGGCACGGGGAGGGGGAGATGCCATCACCTTTCAGAGCAGAGCCGGTCACTGCAGCTCCTGCCGCTTTGCAGCACACCTGACCCAATAAACCACCTCCCGCCTTCAGACCCTCGGTGGGCAAAGCTGAGCTCCTTCCCACAGCCCACCCTGGGGAAAGGCACCAGCCTGGGTGCGCTGATAGGGGGGACCGTAGAGGGACCGCTATGGCCGGAGGGATGCTGAGGGCAGGCAGTGCTGCCGGACGGGAGCGCAGGGACTGGCCCGGCCACCCCACAAGGGTGGGGATGGTGGAGGAGCCCTGGGGGGATCTCTGCCATCAGCCCGGCACCCTCTGGGCACATGATGGCTCCTTGCAAGGACACCGGTGAGTTTGGAGACCTTTGGGGTAAGGGAGGCAGATGGTGACACACAGGTGGATTTCTTCCCTCTCTTTTATGTGAAGCTGTGCTGAACTCTGCCTTCCGTCTGTCCACTCTCCTTGCCGTGCTTGCTGGATTAGCCACCTGAAAATTATTTTCTTTACCAGAGCCTTTAACGTCAGAGGATACAAGCTGTTCTTTGTGCACAAGCTGCTGCCTGTGATTTAAAGAGCCAGGGCTGGGCTGTTTGTTTTCGAGCAAGGTTGGCCGCTCTTGATCAAGGCTGTCCTCGATTAGCAAAGCCCGGAGGTGTTCCCCAGCTGCAAGCGCTAATCACCGCAGAGATGAGACCCAGAGCAACCACCCTGCCCCGCTTCCGCCCGCCGCAGCCGCTGCCCGTTGCCGGATACCCCACCATCCAGTTGCCATTTCTTGTTGTGCTGCTTTATCTCGCTCCGCAAAGCTCCGGCTGTCTTGCATCGTGCGGGCCTGGGATCAGCGGCGGCTGGCCGGGAAAGCGGGAGCGTTTGGCTGCTTCTTCCCGATGCGTTTCGGTGCTCGGCACCGAGGGGAGCTGAGGTTGCCCCGGCTGGTGCTGCAGACACGGGGGGCTGGAGGCTGCGCCGCCCCGGGGACGCAGAGCACAGGGTTAAGAGGAAGGACTGGTGTCAGTGGTAAAGCAAATAAACTGGGGGATGTCACAATAAAAGCTGAATATGGCTTTGCATCATCTTACAGGGGATTGTGTTTGTGGGGTGCCCAGAAAGCCCCCTGAATTTTGGGGGGAGGAGATTTAAAACAAACCCATCGCTCACTCCAGCCCAGCTAGGGATGTGGAGGGGCTGGCGTGCGTGGTGGCACAGGTTGGGGGCAGCCTCTCCTTCCCAGTGGGGGCTTGTTTCTCCCCTGCCCCAAACCCGCCTTTTTGCTGGGAATCGAAGAGAAACTCTTTGATTTACATCCAGCGTGCCGGAGCGAGCGGCTGCCGGCTCCCAGGCTCCCGTGACTCCTGCGCCCTGGCGCTTGCGGAGGAGGTCTCCTCCCCAGGGACACGGCCCCGGAGCGGGACGGCCGGGACAGCCGGGGTGTCGGCAGGCAGGGAGCTGGAGATCAAAGGCAGGGCTGGGGCCAAGCCCAGGCGGGCGGCCGGGCGCTGCCTCCTGCGATTCCCCCTTTTA